GTCAAACGTCCAATTGAAAAGTACTTTAAAATTACCATTACACAATATAAAAAAGATCGACATTTTAAGTCACATTCATGATAATTACGAAATTCCACTATGCTACTTGTATTTGAATATAATTTGAGAGAAGTTAAAATTAATTACAACACAATAAATAGTCAATAAAAGATCGTATAACAGCAGGAGTGGTGGTGATTATAAATTCATCAAGGAGCATTGTTAAACAATTGAAATTGCATGTTTTAGGTCAATTTTCAGATTATTATTCAAATTAAAGATGAAATTGTTTACGTTTGATAGATTTAGCACATTATTAGTGAATTCGATATCAAATATAGGAATAGATATTATTAATTATGCAAATAAAGAATAACAGATTATTACTGTTGTTATTATTGAAGAATTGGCAGTGATTTATCAACTTTCATAAGCATAGGCATCCATTGTTATCATTATACATGAAGTTGAAATTAAAACCCCAAAGTCAAAATGTTTCAACTTGAGGCAACTACATAGTAAAAATCAGTTTCAACCTTATTTTGACCCTATTTCGACCAGATCTGCAAATGGTCAAAATAGTTTCAACTTCATGTATAGTTATCATCATCATCGTCATAGTCATCTTCATAATCATAATCATCTTTAAATTCTATATTAGTTTTAATGGGGCGATATAGGTCTCATCATGAGCTGGCATGATTGGAGCTTCATGCTCACATTCATCTTGATATATACTTTCAGGTGTAAACTACCTAATTAATCATTATTAAGACATCACCTTCTGATAATTGAATGTGCATCAACATCTTCGTGACGAATTATCTGATTCTGACTCATTTGTGTGTATAGAGTACATTAAATGACTGCTATCTGTTAAAGATTCATCGTCATACTCTGAATGATTTATTATTATTTATAAATGATAAATATCCTGATTTTATTAATGATATTGTAGAAATTTTAATCACCAGTTTGTGCATTAACATGCATACTTAATGATTCATTGTGAATTATTTGTTTTATTATTTGAAAGAGAAACAACAACTTCTTGTGATTAATATCATTTTCATGAGATAAAATTATATATTTTGTGTAGTTTTACAAGTTTTGCAAAAAACTATTAATTATACATGAAATAAAAAAGCAAGTTATGTGTTAATTATGCATAAATATTTTTTTAAATTAAATATTAATTGTTACTATTATTATGAGCTTTATTTATTGCAATGATTATCAATAGTTAATTTACGGCTCACTCAATAGAATTATCACCAAAAAAACAAAAGTATCCCATACAAATTTTTCAATATTTAATGTTGATCATGTGATATGTGGCAATTTTGGCAATTTTGGACACTATGTAATCCAATGATATCTTGTGCGATTTTGCTTTTATTATTATTTATTGTTGTTTAATTTTTTGATCTTGTATTACCAACAAACATTTTTTTCTTCCCATCTAACAAAAACTTCCCGATAATAATTAATATTATTGATTTTTATCAAGTATGTTTTTTATATTTTATACTATTATTTTTGTTGATGCTATTTATCATTATGTACTGTATATTCATCTAATATTATTATAATGATTGTTTTTAAAAAAACAAAGTATCATGGGAGTTTTTGTATCGGCCACCAGCCACCAAGAACAAAGCCAAACAAGTCAACAATCACAGTACTTATGTTTTATGTTTTATATTTTATATTTTATATTTTATTATTTTTGTTGATACTATTTATCTAATATTATTATTTTTTTTTTTTTAAAAAAAAAAGGATGGGAACGGACGGACGGACGGAAGGAAGGGAGCGTTAATTTGCACTACTGACTAACTAAGCCACGAATTGGGTTAGCAGTCGATCGGAATCCGTCGACTTTCCCTCTACTTAGTGAGAAATTACTTTGTATGGATGTGCTACACGATCGTCACTTATTAAGTATTTAATTA